ACTATTTTTTAAAATAGGAGGGATTGAAGAAAGATTAATTTCTTCAGACAGTTTTACGGGTCTTGGAGGCATGGAGGAGATGGGAGATGGTCAGGGTACATGACAACATTTCCATTTTCAAATAGAGGAGGAAAATGGAAGTTAAAAGGTTGTTGAAGTTGGTGAGCTTGATGGAAACTTGGCAGAGTTTCTAGAAGAATCAGGAAGATGGAACATAAGAACGTGGGAGAAAATAGGCAACAGAGACTTACTAAGAGCAAATCAAACCCAAATCACCTTATGTGTTTGTTTATAAATGAAGGAGGGGGTTGCTGGAGGCAAGGACATTGGATTATAATGTAGCATTTGCAAAAATCTTTTTATGTCTTTGGGAACAAATGGAAAAATATTTATGGCGTTCCTGCTAGGGACATCAGAGCTGAGTGACTGTGTTCTAAGAAAGCTGACTAATGGACCTGTATCAACTTGGAAGCACAGTCTCTGTAAAGGAGTTCTGGCTTTGTTCTTGTCTGGTTCAACATTTTTATCAATTTTTCACTTAAGATCATCAGTAGCTCTCTAATCAAATCTGAGGATGCACCAAGGCTGAGAGGAAAAGAAATGGATTGTATAATTGAATCAGGATTCACCACACCACCAAGAGCTGGGCATAAAGGACAGAACAGAACAAGTAGAACGGTACCAGACAGAAACCTAGAGTATCACCTCTAGACCTCCAAAGGGTAAAGTGAGGGGAATTGAGAGATGGCTTAGTAGCAGAGTCTCTGAGAAAAGGCTAAGGTCTTTTCTTTATTGCCAACAACCTTCGACTGTTGGATGACACTGAATTCTCAAAATAATCAAACAACACTTTGGGTTGCATACATAGAATTGTTTTGAATAGAACTGTGTCAGGCACATAAGATATGCTTAACAGGAACTATTTAAAGTGGTGTATGAATTTGTGTTTTCCTGGAATGCTATGCTGAGTTGCTTGCTCATGCATTCATTCAACAAATATTTTTTTGAGAACTAGAGTCAGGCTTTGGTTAGGTGCACATAAACAAACAAAATAGACAAAATCTCTGCCATGGGGAACAGAAACTTTTATGGAGCATTCAATATGTATCAGGTTGTGATGATGAATACAGCTCCTGTCTTCAAATTCTTGTTAAAGAAGAAGATATAAATACATCACCTCCATGCAGAAATGCTACATGCCATTAATGCACAGTGATTCTGAGAGGAGTAGAATTAGCTCCAAATAGAGGAAACCGTTGCAAATCCAACTAAAATTACCTTGCTGGTTGGTTGATAAATGGAACAAAGTTAGGTGGTTTTCTGTTTTTTATGCATGCAATGGTCAGATATTTGCTCTTCATTGGTATCCATCTCTGAATTGTCCAGAGTAAGGCAACTAGAATTGTGAGCAAACCTAAAGCCTGTATCATACAAGGTAATAGTAAGGAATGTGGATTTTGCTTTTTAACCTGAAGACGAGAAATCCCCAAACTTACTGGGTACGCAATATGTGACAAGTTGTTATGAAGAATGAAGAATGGTCATGGACAGGATGGTGTTAGGGTACAGCTGGAATTTTCAGGGCATCAACCAGGGTTTACACAGGAACATCTTCAAGCAGTCCAAGTGGTCTATAAGATGCATTCGTGAAGCAGGAGATGCCCCTGCCATTGGGGGCATTCAAGCAGAAGCTAAAGGGGCACCTTTCAACTTATGAGAAAGGGTCACCCAGACCTTTGTGTTTTGGACTGAATGCACTGAGGTCATAGCTAGCTCTGGATTTCTCCTATTTTATGAACTTTCAAATGTTGTGTTTTAAAACAGTCATTATGCATTGATATTTTACATTATTTGCATCACTTACCTAATTCAGAGTGGACTGGTATGGTGTCACCCCAAAGCTCCTGCGTCAATGCAGGAATGTTCAGAGGTGAAATGACTGGATGGGGAGGACCATAACCTAACCAGCCCATCCTAGTTTAAGTGGACTGAGTGGTAACCGAAGGCAGGTGGGGCATGACTGGAGAAGGTGAGTCTCAGGGAAGTGCCCTGGAAGGGTTCACCTGCCTGGGGCCCCTTCCCCTTCCCTGTCTGATTCCAGGTCACCATGTCCTGAGCTGCTTCCCTCTGCCATGCCCTTCCCCCATGATGCTCCACCTCACCTGGGGTCCACAGTAATGGACTCATCCCACCATTGATTGAGACCTCTAAACTGAGCCAAAATGACTCACAATAGATGGGGCAGTGGAGGTGGTGGAGGTTCACCGGTGGAGGTTCACAGGGGGGAAGGAAGTGGGGGATGGGAATGGGAAAGACAGTAGAATGAATTGGACACAACTGTCCTATGTTCATGAATTCACAACCAGTGTCATTCCACATTATGTACAACCACAGGAAAGGGAAGTTATACTCCATGTACGTATCACATGTCAAAATAACTTCTACTGCCAGGTGCGGTGGCACACACCTATAATCCCAGTGGCTCAGGAGGCTGAGGCAGGAGGATCGGGAGTTCAAAGCCAGCCTCAGCAACTTAGTGAGTCCCTAAGCAGCTCAGTGAGACTCTGTCTCTAAATAAAATCTATTTTTTAAAAAAGGGCTGATGATGTAGCTCAGTGGTTAAGTGTCCTTCAGTTCGATCCCTACATACATTCTACTGTCATGCAAAACTAAAAAGAACAAATTTAAAAATTAAAAAAATCCCTTTCTACCTTCTAAGTTGTTCTTGTTGGGCATTTGGTCACAGTGATAAAATAAAAACAACAACAACAAAAACCTGACACATTGGTTTTCTGAGAGCCCAAGGAAGGAGCTAGGTCACAGACTGAAAAAATTATGAATTTAAAATTTGTTCTAAAGCCAAAGAGCAGGGTTCCTTTGGGGACAGGCTACTCCCCTTCTCTGCAGCTGAATTTCCACATCTATAAAATGAAAGTAATAGAATTTAACTTATCCTGTTGCCTCACTGTGGGAATAGGATGTAATGTGTGGGATACATCATCTTGAACAGGATAACTCATAAAAAAATGAAAGTACATTTAAGACTAATTATTTGTTGTGTTCTTATATCCTGCCCCCCTTTGGCACCTGGCCTTGAGGAATGCACAGATCAGTTCTGTCCCCAGCATTTGGGTTAAGGCCAAATGCTGACTGGGAATACTGTGGCCCAACCAGAAACGGCATCAGAGTCAGCAGCTCCTTTGCCTGAGGGGAAAGGATTTTGCCCTGATTTCTGTCTCTTGCAGCTTGTTCTTTGCAGTATCCCTTCCCTAGCTTTTGGGTCCCTGTGCTGCTTGTCCTTGGATCTGTGGATTCTGAGCACCCTCTAGGGACAACAGAGGGATGTGTCCCTCTTGAGAGGACAGACTTTTCATCAAGCAGTTGCTGGCCCCAGTGAAGTGCCCCAGAAGCAAATGGGATGTGGAGGGAGGGGACCGGCTGGGGGGAGAAATCCAGCTCCCCTGAACCCGGCCATCCCTACCTCTGCTCCTGCTGCCTTCTTGTAAATCTAGTCCCCAGACGCAGACAGTGAGCAGCCCAGGGTTCAGAGAAAGGACTCCCTTCTATGCCTGAGCACAGGTGGTCGGCCGAGAGCTGCAGTGAGGGATCGTAACTGCATCACTGCTGAATGGTGAACAGGCCAATGGCTCGGGTCCAGGGTTCGATTGAGTCCTCTGGCCATCCAGGGATGTGTCCCACTCAATTATCCGAAGCGGGGAAGAGCTTACTCAAGCACAGTGAATCACAGAAAAAAATATCATTTTTCTTTAAACATTTCATCTCCAGTTCTTTCTCCTACCTGACTCTTTGAAAATTCTACATCCTTCCTGCCTCTAAACAAACCTAAGGAAAGATAGTTCTTCTGTTACCATCATAAAGGAGAAGACCGTGAAGGACAAGGACAGATCATCATGAGAACAGTGATAAAACCCACTTCTACAGGATTGTTATGCCTGGATAATTAGCAAAAGTTATTGACTAAGAAAGTCAGAATTCTCACCTTTCTCCGGAAGAAAAAGATGAAATAATTTTCCTAAAGAAATGAGATACTAGGAGGTAGAATTCGTAGAGCATCTGAACTTAGGACCACCTGGTTTCTGTAGTCGGGACCATTAGCCTGAATTCAGAAAGCCCTATAATTTACTCTGACTTACTGAGCATTTAGAATTTTCTGGAGTCTATGATAAATGTGCCTTTCACAATTTTCATAAGAGTTGCCAAATAATTTTGAGACGTCTGTTTTATCATCTTCACCTTACAGAAGAGAAAACAGATGCCCCCAAGAGTCACAATCGGGAAAGAGATGTGTCCAGGAGGTGAACTCAGATTTCTAATTTACAACACCTCACTTTAGTTACCCTCATGCATGGACCACGAAGGGTATCAGGCACACCAGGCGGTAAAGAGAAGTGGAGGGTAGTCTATGCTCTCAAGGGGCGTGAGACCCACACGGAGGAACCCATCATCTGGAGGGGAGCTTGGTTTGAACAATCTGGGTAGACAGTTTCTGTAGATAAATAACTACTGGAAAGAGCAAGAGATGATACCAAAGAAAACATAACTGTGAGCATGGGAGGTGGACTTGATATCTTCAAACTGGCCTTCTCAGTGCAGTTAGAAAATCTGAGATTTTTCTATATATGTTTACATGTTTTATAAATATGATTTTTACCTCATCCCCTCTCTTCTCCCCCCCACAATTGGTTTCAAGACATCAGAGAGATTCCAAGGTAGTGAGACCTTAAGAAGTCAATATCGTAGGAACAATGGGCCCATGCACTAATAAAAAAAAGAAAAAACATAAAAAAGAATGGCATTCCAGAGAGTTGAGATAAATATTGGGTAAAATTTTGTTTTCAGGCCCTTAAACATTTTCATTGACACATAACAGTGCCACGTAGTTATGGGATACAATGTGAAATAAGCAAAGCCTGGAAAGGGAGATACTGCATGGTCTCACTCATGGGGGAATCTCTTAGGATCTGCAAGTACAATAGTACCTTCCAGAGTCTGGTGAGAACGGGGACAGGGCAGGCAGAGACAGTCAGGGTATTCGTTGATTCAAGTGTGACTGGCGGAGGGTTGAGTAGCTGAGTGGATCTTTCCAGCATCTAGGAATAGAGGGACAAACATTGGAATTTGGTGCCCACAAAGGTGCATATTCCTGGTAAATATGGCAGACTTTTAATTAGAACCTCTAAATGTTTATACTCCGGGGCTAAACCTCCACAAAAGAAGATACCAACCCTCTCACTTTGAAAACGATTAGTAAATTATTAAGGTGATCTTCAAATTAAGTTTTTCGCCCAAGAAAAACCAAATCAATTCTGGAGGGAGAAAATAGTATCTAGAGCAGGATTTCTCAGACTTGGCACTAAAGGTGTTTATATTTTGGAGCAGATGATTCTTTGTCACAGGGATTGTCCTAAATCTGGTAGGTTGTTTGGTGCAATTGCTGGGCTCCATGCATAAGATGCCACTGGCCACCCTCAGGTGTGACAACCTAACTGTCCTCAGACACCACCAAATGGGTAAGGGAGAAAGTCACCTGTGAGTGAGAACTATTGGCTTAGATCCTCAGACTTATTATTTTAAGTTTTACAACATTTAACATTCAAGTAAAAATAGGCATGCATCAAAAATGATAAGAATTGATTTTAAACTGTGAGAAAAACATGATAAATTCACATATACAAGGAATTTAGGTATTGGAATTATTAGTCATATATGTTAAATCACTCTTTTTTGATTTTATTTGTGCTTTAGTTATAATGACAGTAGAATTCACTTTGCATAATATACAAGAATAGAAAAATCACTCAACAATGTCATTAAGAAATTAAAAGACACAATGGAAAACGTCAGCAGAGAATTAAAAACAAATAAACCAAGTTATGAAACCAACTTAGGTATCCTTCAATGGATGAATGGATAAAGAAATATATACTCAATGTAATATTACTTGGCTACAAGAAGAATGAAATTATGGAATTTGCCAATAAATGGATGGAACTGGAGAATATCACGCTAAGTGAAATAAGCCAGTACCCCCAAACCAAAGGCCAAATGTTCTCTCTGACATGGGGATGGTAACCCACAACAACAAGGGCGAGCAGGGAGGGAAAGAATAGAAGTCCATTGGATTAGACAAAAGGAAATGAAATGAAGGGAGGGGGGAGGCAAATAGGAAGGACAGTAGAATCAATTGGGCATAACTTTCCTTGCCTTGTATCTGAACACATGACCAGAGCAACTCCACATCGTGTATGACTACAAGAATAGGATCCTAATTAGAATAAGTTATACTGCAGGCATGTATAATATGCTATAATATAACATTCTACTGTCACGTATAACTAAAAAGAACAAATAGAAAAAATAAAATGTAAACTTGAGATTTTGAGAGGCAATAACTGAAATTAATATCTCAACAGAAGGGTATAATAGCAGAATAAGAGATTGTTGAGCCAAAGATATATCAGAGGAAAATATATACAATGAAGCACAGAGAGATAGAAAGAGGGACCCAGAAAAAGACTACAAGACATCTAGGATATAAACCTTAACACATAAATGTTTAGTCATGAAACACGATATAGAAATGTGAAATAGATGCCATTCCATTGTTCGAGATATGCATAGTTTGGTGAGTCAGTTAGGAGTTTGTAATACTGTTGGAAGGTTGGGAACCAATTAATAGGGAAGCTGTTACCAAATGTCAGTGAACACTTTATTAATGATCTGACCATGAACGCAGAGGGTATGCCTGAACCCTCATATCCCCTCGGCAAAGATCAGACCTGTTAGCTCCAAATGTTAAAATGCAATCTGTGACCCACCATCCACTGACTGTGGATTAGTTTTGTAGGGTTGCCATATTAAAGTACCACAAAGTAGGTGGTTTAAAGCTGTGCTTCCTCCAAAGTCTCTGGGGGGAAACTTTGCCTCTTACAGCTACTGGTACCTTCAGACATTCCTTGGCTTGTGGCCTCATAACTCCAATCTCTGCCTGTCTTCACATGCCATTTTCCTTCTATGTCTATATTTGGATTCAAATTTCCCTTTTCTTGAAAGGATACCAGCCATATAAAATCTTCAAGGGCCCTATTTCCAAATAATATCGCATTTTTGAGGTACTAAGAGGCTAGGGCTTTAATATATACTTGAGGGTGACATAACTCAATCGATAATAGACTACTAAAATATGCAAAGCAAGTGACAATCTCTAGGAATCTGAATTTAAAAATAAAACAAAAAATTCTCAAAATTAGCTGGTGCATGCTTCTTGGAAGACAGACTCCATAGAATATGTCTAGAAAAGTCACTGAATGAATTAACAAGCAAATCCAAAACATATAATAATCCTGAGGGAGAATCAGAACCCAGAGTTGCTGCAATGAATTTCCAAAATGCCCACTTTTCAAAATAAAAATCGCAAAACTCAGAAAGGTATAGCTTGTTTACAGGGAACAAACAGTCAATAGATGCTATCTCTGGGGGGCCTAGATGTTGGACTTCGTAGGCACTGTGTCCAAACTATCTGACCAGAACAACTTAGAAAAGGAAAAGTTTATCTGGGATGCACAGTTTCAGAGGTCCCAGTCCATAGATAGTGGAATCCACTGCTCTGGGCCCAAGGGGAGTGTTATGGTTTGGATATGCAGTGTCCCCCAAAAGCTCATGTGTGAGATGACACAAGAAGGTTCAGAGGTAAAATGATTTGATTATGAGAGCCACAACTTAGTGGATTAATCCACTTGAATGGATTAACTGAGCGGTAACTGTAGGCAGATAGGGTATGGCTAGAGAAAATAGATCACTAGGGGCGTGACTTTAAGTTTTATATTTTGTCACTGATATTCTCTCATTCTCTCTCTCTCTCTCTCTCTCTCTCTCTCTCTCTCTCTCTCTCTGGTTCCTGGCTGTCATGAACTAAGCAGTTTTCCTCCACCAAGTCCTTCCACCATGATGTGCTACTTCTCCTTGTGTCCAGAGCTATGGGTTCAACCACCATGGACTGAACTTCTGGAACCATGAGCCAAAAGTTGTTCTTGTCAGGTCTTTTGGTCATGGCAACAAAATCTCACTAAAACAGTGGGGCAGAGAGAGCATCATGGCCAAAGGGCCCGAGGGGAAAGCTGCTCACCTCCTGGAAGCCAGGAAGCAGAAGAAAGGGAGAGGGCAGGGGTCACAGGAAAGATGAACCCTTCAGTGCCCCCAGCGACCCACCTCCAACACGCCCCACCTGCCTGTAGTTACCAGCCTGTGGATCCATTCCATCTAGGATGGAACACCTCACATCCAAAGGAAATACGTTCAAAGACCTAACAGAAGTCATGTTCAAATAATTCAGGGAAAGTACAAAAAATGATTCACCAAATAGAAAAATATAAATTAAAAGCTATTAGTTATTTAAAAAGAAACTCAATAAAGAAAAATAATGAAAAGGAAATTAAAAGAGCCTCAGAGATCTAGGAGACACTATCAAGCATATTATAGTGTGAGGGGGATCCTAGAAAGAGAGGAGAGAGAAAAACATACATTTGAAGAAATAATGGCCAAAAGAGTCCATATTTGCTGTAAAAACACTAATTTACAGATCCAAGAAACTCAATGAATTCTAAGTAGAATACATTCAAAGAGATCCACATCCAGATGCATCAGAGTCAAAATGTTCAATACCAAAGACAGACAAAATCTTGAAAGCAACAAAGGATTGATTACTCCTAATATTTAAAGGAACCTCAATAAGATTAAGGACCAGCCTCTCTTCAGAAACCACGAAGTCAGAGCTCAGGGCTTATGTATTCAAAGTATTGTAAGAATAAAAGCTGTAAACCAGGAATTTCATATTTAGCCAATAAAATTATCCTTCAAAATTAAGATGAAAATACATTCTCAGGTAAACAATATCTGATGAATTCACTGGTCATCAAAAGGACATAGGAAATACTAAAGAAAAACTTTACGCAAAAAGGAAATGACACTAGATGGTAACTCGATTTGCATGAAGAAATCAGGAGCACTGATACAGGTAATTACACTCCCAGTGGACATCCCTAGTGCCAGAGTGTGCTCTTTAAACATCATTTTCCTAAAAGAAACTAAGCCTTGGTAGATTAGTGACTGATTCCAGTTTTTGAGCAGGAAATCCATAGATTAATAAGGCTTGTGTGGAATATCTTGTCATATCTAATAGAGTCATGTCAAAAATTTTCAGAACATAAATGTAAGAAAATGACTTACAGTGGTCAAAGATGAGTTGAAGGGATGGGGTTGAGGCTCAGTGGTAGAGTGCTTGCCTAGCGTGTGTGAGGCACTAGGTTCAATTCTCAGCAATGTATGTAAATAAATAAAATAAAGGTACATTGACGACTAAAAAGTATTTTTTTAAAAAGATGAGTTGACAGGGGTTACAGCAAGATGACTACTTCAGTGAATAGGAAATATTCAGATGCATTTTTTAAAAAAATATTTATTCTTAAGCTTTAGGTGGACAATATCTTTATTTTACATTTATAGGGTACTGAGGATTGAACCCAATGACTCCTGCAGGCTAGGCGGGCACTCTACCACTGAGCCACAACCCCAGCTCCCAGATGCATTTTTTAAAGATTTTTTTTAAAGATGGACACAATATCTTTATTATTGTGTTGAGGATCGAACCCAGTACTTCACAAGTGCAAGGCAAGCACTCTATCACTGAGCTATAACCCCAGCCCCTCATCGGATGCATTTAAACCCATAACTAATAATGTTAACCAAACCAACATAATCAATCACATTCTGAGGATGATAGGAAATGAATTAACAACTTGGGAAATTGTTGAGTAAAGGAAAATAATTAGGAATTTATTCTAATTTTCTTATATGAACCTTATCATAACAGATCCAAATAGGAGATGAGAAGAGGTATGTATTTATAGAACTATTCCCAATAATAAATATAGAAGACATAATCGTGTTATACTCTTATTATTTTAAATTCTCCAACAAATTAATTGACATAAAATTGAGCTATCATTTTATATTATATGGGGAGAAAATGATATATTATGTGCCCCTAGTGAATAAACCCCCCAGCACCTATAATCTTGACAAAGGGATGGAAACGCCATGGGATAGTTTGTGGATCTAGCTGTTGGTGTCTAGGAAATACTTTTCTCAACAAAAACCAGACTGTGGGAAATGCTACAGATCAAGTAGCCTGAGTTCTTCAGCTGAGTTGGTATAAGTGAAAGAAAGGATGGACTGAATACCTGCTGAGTACAGGAGATGCAAATGACTTAGCCAAATTAAATAGCAGCAAAATAAAACTACAGTATTCACGAATGCACACTTGGTGATTAGACTACAAATAATGTAAGACAGTGATTACTAAAAAGTCACCTTCATGGAGGAGGTGATGGGTGGCACTGAGAGGAACAAGGGGAGGGACAGTTGACGTAGCCAGAAATTTTCTAATTCTTGACTTGGTGAGAATCCAAACAGTGATTGCCCTTTAATAATAATTTGGTGGTGCATGTGTGTTTTTGTATCTGTGTTTTATTTTATAATAAGAAGGTTAAAAAAGTAATGCCTTATCTTAATAAATGTCACGGAAGTCCAATGATTTTTTTAGTGTGGTGAAAATAATTCAATTTTTTTTTTTTTTTTTTACTCTACAGTACGCTTTTGTCTCTTTGAAGATGTTTCCAAAGTCTGCTCAGCACATCTACAGCCCAGAATTTGACAGGAGTATTATTGCTCAAGTTTCATGTTCCAATGTCCAAACTTGTCTTCAAAGAAGGTACTTTAGTTGGATTGGTTTTTTCTGGGTATAAAATAATTGTTATGAGTCTATACCTATAATTTCTAAATGTAAATAATCATGATGCAAAATAAAGAATTTTCCTCAGGTCAAGAAAACAAAAGCATCCCTTTATATCTTAAACAAAACACACTACATTATTCTGGATTCTTGAGTAATTTATGTTCCTATTGGCTTCAGTCTATAGATCTATTCTCAAACAACATATGGGAAAGCCTTTTTCCTGGCTGATATTTCTCCATCAGCAGGCATTTATTTATAAACATCTAAAATAAATCCAGATTATAGTGGAAAATGCATGGGTTGAGGAGTTCTGCCTCCAAATAGCTGAATTATGCTTTTTAATTCACCCTTTGAGACTTATTTCCCATCTGAAAATAGTGACAGGAAAACTTTCTCATAGCATTTTTATGGGCCTTAAAAAAGAAGATGTATATTTAACAATTGCTAACCACAATGGGAAAATAATCTGTTGTAGTTACTTTTGAAAATTTCATTTGTAAGTATTAACACATTGAATAAAGAATACCGCATACAGATATTCAATTCATAGTAGCTTCCAAATGACAATGTGTCATCATAAGAAGAAGTCCCCAGTTCAGGACTATTTGATCTATGCTGAAATCACGGTCTGGGAAAACATTTTGTATGGTCTTGGGTTACATTTACAGAGCAGTGGAAGCTGCTTTTGGTTTTCTCTGTTGTATAAACTGCAGCCGTAACAGATTTCCTAATGGCCAACCCTAGAGGGCTGCCATCTTTCTTCTCCTACGGTTAGAACCAGCCAGAGTGAATGAATTAACTTGAGCAGATATTGAATATTAATCTCTTTTATGTTTCCATTTGACATAAAGGTAAATATTTGATTTTGTGCTATTTGATCCTTTCTTGCCGAGATGAACCAGTAATAAGCTCCAGGATGGGCTCTTTCAGCAGACAAACAATTACCTCAATTGAAGCTCTGGTGCAGGCTAGGGAATCCAGCCTACCCTAGGGCTGGTTGTTATCCAGGGGACACTAAGCCATAGGTACATTATGGCAACAAAAGATGCTAATTAGAGTCAGATGCAGAGTGTCACTCTCATGGATCTGATGTTAGTACTCATAACTTCCACTCAATTCCATGGGTTAGAACTCAGCTATATGGCCATAATTCAGAGGAGGAAGAGGGGCCCTAGCCTTAGCAGAACTTAGATCCTTGTGAGGAAAAAATACATTGGATTGAAATCACTGAACCAAGATCATGTATCATGGTAAAGGTAGCTCTTGGTTAGCACCTGGGGTGCCCACTAAGTCCCTCCCAAAGCATTTTGAGTCATTGCTCAAGGTGTGCCGCCTGTCTTTGCCAGGCAAGTGTAGAGATGCGGGAGCCTATTTGGGTGGGCTCCATGCCTCACTGCTCACAGGTGTCTGACACCAGGCCAAGAGCAGCTTTGCAGAAGGGCTTCTCTGCAAAATGTCTCCTGAGGCCACAATCATGGCCCAAGAGGCGCTGGGGATGTAGCTCAAGCGGTAGCATGCTCGCCTGGCATGCGTGTGTCCCGGGTTCGATCCTCAGCACCACATACAAAGATGTTGTGTCTGCCGAAAACTAAAATAAATAAATAAATAATCATGGCCCAAAGTATTTGGTCCCCTATGCTTAGATCAAGTGTTCCCTGGGTTTAGTGATTTCAAAGCTCACTAGTCCACATGGTTAAAAATATCAGCTTATTCACTTAATTATTCTCACAGAAGTCCAGTCTTACTGCCTAAAGTTTAGGCCCACTCAAGATGGGAGAAAGTGAATATTGTTCAGCAAAATGGTAGCTTAAAGTTCTGTTGTAGTATTTTTGAAGAAATTCCCAGGGCTCATAGTGGGTCTAGTCATGAACTCAGAGACCATGTGCCCATCATTCATCTAACATTTATGCGTTGTTCACAATACATCAGGCCTGTGCTAAGTGATCTCCCTTTATCTTCATGGAATCCTCCCCCCTCTTTTTTTCTTATTTAGCTGTAGCTTCTGCATATAGCTGTGTTATGGGACTAATCCAAGTGTCCGTGGATGGATGCATGGATAAAGAAATTATGGTACATATACAAAATGGAGTTTTGCTCAGCCATGAAGAAGATTGAAATTATGGCATTTGCTGGCAAATGGATGAAACCAGAGAACATCATGCTAAGTGAAGTAATCCAGACTCATGAAAGATCAAATATCAACTGTTTTCTCTCATAATCTATTTCTCACAGTTCCTGACAGAAATCTTGTAACTCCAAGAGTGATGCCGCAGAGTAAGTTTCCAGTTGATGGTCTTGCCTTGTTCCAGGCCATCTTGGGTTTTATTTTCCCTCCACATTCTGAGGACATCAAAGTTATATGATCCAAGGCTACTGGCATCACTGGTCACACTAAAACCTGGCGCTGAGAGATGACCTTTGAATTCAATAAATGGAGTTACTTAAAGACCCTTGTCTTGATGGCCTTGGAGGACACTAGTCTGGCGCTACATGTATCAGTATGAAACATTTTCAATTTCCATCTCTCCACTGGTTTGATTTCTACCTCATTCCTCTTAACAGCATTGTGTTCCAAATAATTATCTCCTGTCACTTGTACTTGAGATTTTATCAAGCTTGTCTGAGTAAAGCATGCCACCATGTCTCTATTTTAATATAGTAAGCTAGCTTATTTGAACCAACCATCCCTTAGGAACAACAAATAAAGTCAGAAAAACACACTGTTTACTGTATTTATATCCGATGAAATAGATAAACCCCCAAGTCTCAAGAGCTAAATACAATATAATTTCTTAACCCATGTGAATTCCAAATGCATGTTCCTGATTGGAAGGTGACTCTCTTCTGAGGATGACCCCACAGTTCCAGGCTCCTTAATCTTTCGACTCTGTTATCTTCAATATGTGGCTCCTAATATTGCAATATTTGTTTTAATTTTTTAGTGTCTGATTAACATGTATTAATTATACCAATTAATGGGGTTCAGAGTCAAGCCAGAAGAGTATACCAGAGACCTATTCAAAATACAGGGAGATTTTTTCCAGGGCAAGTCCTGGAATTAGTACTCATAACTTCCACTCAAGTCCATGGGTTGAACTCAGCTATATGGCCATATTATACAGTAGGGGAAGATGAAAAAGATGCTTTACATATGTGATTAGAAAGAAGATTATGAGTTAATAGGGACAATAATCGTTAATAAGGAGATTGCTTATGTCAAGATAGTATATTTTCACAGATTTGCCATAACAATGGGAAGAGATTGGATAATACAATGGGAAACTGAGGTCAAATTCTGTAGAAAATCTGCATAAAGATACCAAGCAAGAACTTGGATTATAGAAACTGTATTTTCTGCTGACAAAAAAAAAAAAATCATTGCCTCTCGGATCCACTTTATGATCCAGTCGGACTTGGTGACTCCATGTGCACTAGGAGAGGACAGGCACGGGACCGCTGCTGGATGGAGTGTTCTGCTGACGTCACTTAGATCCTATGGACTGATGATGATGCTCAATTTTTCCATCTTCTTGCTGTTTTATGTTGAGGAATTCTGTTGATAACCATAAGAGGGCTATTGAAGTCTCGATTATAATTATGATTTGGATTTTTTGAATTCATTTCTGTTACTTGTTGTTCATGTATTTTGAACCTTTGTCATCTGGTGCACACACATTTATGGCTGCTGTGCCTTCTTAGTGGAGTCTCTATTTTATCATGTCGTATGTCCTTGTCTGCCTCTGCATAATCTTCTTTGCTCTGAATTTCATTTCTGATGTTAGGGTGACCAGTTCACTCTCATTTGGTTAGTGTTTACATGATAAATCTTTTTCTAGTCACTTTTTTTCTTTCTTTCTTTTTTATACCAGGGATTGAACCCAGAGGTGTTTAACCACTGAGCCACATCCCAGCCCTTTTATACATTTTATTCAGAGGCAGGGTCTCAATAAGTTGCTTAGGGCCTTGCTAAATTGCTGAAGCTGGGTTTGAACTCATGATCCTCCTACCTCAGTCTCCTGAGCTGCTGGGATTACAGGTGTGCACCACCGCACCCGGCCTAGTCACTTATATTTAACCTACCTCTAGTACTACGTTTAAATATAACGTTATTGATGTTTTTAATGCTTATAGACAGAAGGTAGCTAGGTTATTTTTAAATCAACTCTACATTTTAATTGTAGTATTTAGATTACTTGCATGTAATGTAATTATTGATTTATTAGGATTTAATTACTCATTTTATTGTTTGTTCTCTGTTTCCATTTTATGCCCTCCTGTGACTGACTCAGACATTTTCAATATTCCATCTTGCTTTATTTGTAGTATTTTTGACATTTTTTTGGATATTTTTAGTGGTTGCTCCAGTAATTACAGTATTATTTATCACAGTCTAATGGCACCAACATTTTGTAACTTCAAGTGAACTGTAGGAATATTACTACCGTTTGAGTTCCTTTATTCTCCTCAATTTATAATTTGGTTGTCTGAAATATTTTCTTTTCATGCAATGAGAACTATGTTACATAATATACAATGCTTTATTATAATTTTGCTTTCAACTATGTAACAATTTGAGAAAACTTAAGAGGATAGTCTATTATATTAAGTGTGTACCTATTCTGTTTCTCCTTCTTTTTAATGTTTCAAGCTTCCTTCTCAATCATTTTTATTCTTTTTGAACACCTTCCTCGATTTTTTTAAATGGAACTCAATTGGTGAGAAATACACTTATATTTCTTTCATTTGAGGATATCTTGACATCACCTTCATTCCTGAACATTTTTGTTGAGTAAAGAATTCTGCGTTGAGAGTTTTTACTTGTTCAACACTTATACAAACCCTATGCTGCTGGCCTAGACTTTGGCTTCTGAAGACCCGTCTTCCGTTGGTCAAGATGACACTCCCTACAGCACTGTTCCATTCCAGCTGCTTTCATAATTCTCCTCTTGTTTCCAATTTTCATAAATTTCATTATG